TCACACCACGAAAGGACTTCTCGTCAATCTACATGGACGTGCAAAGTCAGGTGTGTTCCCTCGAACGCGAGAAATTCGAGTACAAAAAAGAAAGCGATAGGCTCACCCAATCTGCATCAGCAGTTAGGGAATTGCAAACTGCGAAAGCGTCAATGATCGCAAATTTAGTACAATCGGGGTTGGTAGATGTTGACAAAATCCGTGAACTTGTTGGAATTTCATTTCCAGTCGACAAATTGTGATAAAAAACAAAGATCACAATGAGTTGTCATTTTTTGTAAATCCTAGATATTGAAGCAGCTCGGACTTTATGTTTTCGCGCATGATCAAAAAATTATCTTGTGGGATGGCGTCGCTGACTTGACTGGGACATGGAGTTTCACAGTACAAATGGCACACTGACTTCACCATTACGGAGGCGGTTTACGATATTGTGCAGAACGCAGCAGGCCAAAATCCAGTGGCACACAAACTGGACGTCGCGCTCGTTGCGGATGTCGACAGGCAGGAGAGCAAGGCTCGACCAACGTCCTTTCAACAGGCCGTTCTCATGCTCGCAGACTACTCAAAGGCTCGCATGGCCAGTGTTGAAGATGTCGTTTCCAACTTCTCGCGCGGAGGGCAAGCGGTAGGGGGTGAGCATGTGGTGACCGAGGGGGAAGCCCGAGTCGCCTGCTTGATACTGGTTGGGGTCAAAGAAGGACAGGGGACGTGGCGCGGGCGATGCGGAAGCCCAAACGGTTGAGTCGTGAACACTGCCAGGCCATCCCGCAAGCACATGCCGAATTTGTCGGCAGTTATCAAACGTCAAAAGTACATTCATTGAATATTCCTTTTTTTGACTGTAATATACCTCTCCATGTAATGCAGGTTTTCGGTATGAAACAACATGAGTGCCATCAGTTGCCAAAACGCAGTTACGAAATCCATACCGCTCAGCATTTGACTTAGCAAGCAGCCGTCTTTTCGAAGAATTGGGCCACGTAATTTCCGAAGTAGAAAGTGAAATCAGGGAACAGGTAATACGTCTCGTATAAAGATGAACTGTCCCATTACCAATTTCCTTCGCCCGTGCGACCATGCCAACAGAAGCACCAGTCCCATTGTGTCCAAGGCGATGCAGAGCACAAGCAAGCTGCACCCACACAGGCCGTTGAATACGATTCGTTTTTGATTGAAATACAGAATGTTCCTCGATCAAATGCAAGATGTAAGCAAACGTAGTCTGGCAAACACGAACTTCTTGTTCAAAGTCTCCTACCGCCATGAAAGGAAGAATCGAAAGCTGCCCGAGTGGACGCAACAGCATTGCACGTGGATACATGTAACGAGCACTGAGAAGCATACATCGAAGGTCAAGAAGCTGTCGTATATCGTTCTTTGTAGAAACTGATAAACGGGGATTGCATGTAACAATTGCTCGCACCATGGCGTCCAAGTCCGCCAAGATGGCCGATCTCTCAGAGCGCCGTGGCATTTTGCACAATGCAATCTAACATACGGATACGGATAAACTGAAATCGGTTGGTCTTGTTGACTCCCCTACGACTTTTGTTTCATAGTGGCCACCTTTGGTTTCGATTTTCGGAATCCTTGAAAATCAAAAGTAGACCAAAAATTCCCAAATTGACTCTCCCTATTAGCTCTCTTCAAATAGCATGACATTCGATACCTCCGTTGCAACACTATTGCCCAGCGCACATTTCAGAAATCCACAACGATGCCAAAGAGTTGAGATAACGGAAGTTCACACAAGCGTCCACAGAGAATTCCGCTTGGCATTTTACATTATTCTGGCACAAGTGAAGTCGACGTTGGGAGGCCATTAGAGGCCAAAGCTGCAAATGCACACACAGTCCCGAATCATCTCGTTGCATGCACCGTACGCCTCATGAAGACTTCGTGCGTTGCAATTCACGACGGCGCTCTTCTGTGTGGATATGAAATTTGCAGTTCATGCCTGTATATGTCCTTAACGATCGATTGATTACCATGCAGCATGTTGAAGTCGATGGCAGCATCATGACAACGGCACCGAGGACCACATTTGTACCTTGCTTTGAACGACCATGTCAAGCATAAGGTTGGTCATTTCCAGGTTTTCCCTGGATTTAATGGCCACAGATAGAACCTAGACTGGACTACAGCAGTTGGAGGTTATCGAGGGACAATACGTCGGACCAATCAGCCGTCACGATGAATTGGCCACCAACTTCAACTCGGTGACTAAAGCCACGGGAGCGGGGCACTTGGGGATTTGCCATGGACGCGCCGAACGAGAAGACAAGTTTGGTCAAGAAGAAGCACGGCAGCAACGCCGAGATCGAAATGTACGGCCGTGGTGGCAACCCGTCTGTGAACGACGACGATGACTACACCAAACACGACCTCATTCCTGTCAAGCAAGAAGCAATGGAGATCACGAGCATGGCATTCCAGTTGTCGTTGCGCCAAGTCGTGCGCCAAGTAATGACGATCACAGACGCAGCGTTCCAAGGACACATCGGCACGAAGCAACTCGCGGGAGTGACGTTGGCCGGCGTGTACATGGGCGTCCCGTCCGCCTTCATCCAAAACTCCATCCCAGCCATCAGTACCTTGTGCAGCCAAGCGTACGGCGCAGGCAACAACACCCTCGTGGGCATTTGGCTGCAAACTTGCATCGTGTTTTCCATCGCTGGGACGATCCCGGTCATGATCTACTACATGTTTGTCGGCCACATCATTGCATTGACGCTGGACGACGTGGAAGCCGTCGGGTTCGGGCAGCAGTTTGCCATGATCATGTCGCTGGCGCTTATTCCGCAATACTTGTACGGGTGCTTGACTACGTACTTTGCAGCGCTCGGAGTGATCATGCCCGCGACCGTCTGCAGTGGCATCACGGTCCTCCTCAACATCGTGTTCAACCAAGTGTTTATCTACGGCGCGTTCGGGTTCGAAGGCCTCGGGTTCATTGGGTCCCCCATCGCTACTGTCGTGTCCAGTTGTTTGCAACTGTTCATGTTTGTCGTGTACACGATCTTGTACAAGCAGTACCATGTGAAGTACTGGGGCGGGTGGACGTGGGAGTGCGTGAGCAAGGAGCGCCTCGTAGTGTTCCTTCCACTCGCGGTGCCCATGGGTGCATCGTCGGTGGTGGACTGGGCATCTGCTGCGCTCACGTCGGCGTTCTCTGGCATCTTGGGCCCGGACATTGCTGCATGTCAAGCCGTGCTGAACGGAGTGTGGGGCGTTGTGAACTCGTTCGTGAGCGGCTTCAGCACCGCCACCCAAATCCGCATGTCCCGCTACCTCGGCGAAGGAAGCGCCGTGGCTGCCAAACGAGTGCTGACTGTGGGCGCGATGATCGTACTTGGCACGGGAGTGACATTGATTGTATGCGTGTACCTCCTCAACGAGTCGCTCTTCCGCGTATGGAGCCCCGACCCGGTCATCATTGCCATGTGCCAGTCGGCACTGATCGTATTCTGCTTGTGCATATCTGTCGCATTCTGCCGGTTCATGATGACGGCGTGCTTGAATGCACTATCCATGTCGAACGTAAACTTGGTCGCCAACAATATTGCGTCGTGGTGCGTCTACGTGCCGCTGAGCTACCTCTTGCCCATCACGTTGGACTGGAGCTTGGCGGGTTTCTGGTGGGCCGATGGCTTTGGGGAGCTCGTGAAAGCCATCATTTTGATGTGGGGTCTTTGCCGCGTCAACTGGATTGCTGCCGCTGATTACGCGCAAAAGTCCGCCGCCACCATGGATTCGACAAACGCAGCCGACGAAGAGAAGCGCGAACTACTCGCGTACGAAAACGAAGCGATGGTGACTCCGCAAGCGTACAAGAGTCCCGTCATCCAGTTCGGATCGGCGCCCCATCACACCCCGAGCGTCATGAAGCGGGCGATGTCGCTGACGCCGAAAATGCAACGTCGAAACAAACATGCAGGGGATCTCGTCCACGTGTGAACAATTGCCCGATCGTCAATAGAAACTAGTGCATATTTCCTTCGACAAAACTGGCCGCCGTGGCGTGATGTGGTCCAACGACCTCGGCTGACTGCCATCTCGGCGATCTTGTCGTGCTCAACGCGCAGCTTCTGCCCCGATGGATTCGTACGCCTGCACCTGACGTAGCAAGCAGCGCAGAGTCGAGACGGAGATCGATGGGCAAAAATGGGCTTGACCTGCACATGTCACGGGATCAGCGAGCCATTCATTTCGCATCCAGCATGCCTCGTCCACCAATGGGTACATGGTATGCTTATTCCTGGAATATGAATTGGTCCCGTGACGGATACGTTTCTAAATATGTTAAAGCTGCTGGTGGACGGCAGTGGTCGGATGTGAAGCCATGGACGACAGTATCTCCCGCATGCAGATGACTTGCTGTGTGAGATGCAGGAGCTTCTCCTTTTGCTGTTCTCGCGACCCCGCGGCCGACTCTCGATTGGTCCGCCGCCGGTAGTCTTCTTTGGACTCGCCTGCTTGACGCTCGCTTTTGGGAAGTTTGGAGGGGATCCAGTCGACGAACGGAATCGACGGGTGCGCCGCTTGGATGCGTTGGATCTCGGCGAGGATGACCTTCATCCTTCGATCACGCTTCTCCCGGTACGCGGCTGCGCTCTCTCTGTTCTTCGTGTTCTTGACATCCACGAGGATGGGACTCCCCGCGCTTTGTTCTGACATGGTCAGCCGATGGTGACGAGGAACAATCTTTCGCTTCAAGTTGCGCCGCTCAATGGCCAGACGGCGCTGAATAGCCGACGCGTTTATCACGGAAGCAAACAGGCTGGACGTCGTACGTGACCGAACCCCAGGCTCTTCCTTGACGTGGATCGATGGGAGCATTGGACGGCAGCGCTGTTGACTATTCCATGCCATTGGTGTCGAAATCGAGTCATGTAACGATGGAAGCGGTTTCACGTCGGTCGAGATGTGCATCGGCGCAAGGAACGACGACGACGGAGGAGGCATGGCTGGGAGGTACCGGCGCGGTGACGTGGTGGGGTTGTACTGGGCTTCGTGGTCAAGCTGGGACGACCCATAAGTTGTGGATGGAGGCGACGACATCGCTGCCTGGTCGGGGCGATGGCAATACGGCTGGCTCTCGTGGTTTGTCCCAGGCAGCACAGACCAAACTAAATGCTGCTGCATCAGGCTGGGCAAGGTCTTGCTCTGTGGAGTGTACTGGAGCGTCTGCGAGTGCATGGCAGTGTATTCGTGGAATCGCATTGTCTGCGCCGTGTTGAAAAGATGGTCCACGTACATCATGATGGGGGCGGCGGCGGCGGCGACGAACGAATCTGGGTGCAAAAATGCAAAGTGGCGCCCCGCGCACGCCTCGAGCCCGATTCAAAAGGTACGTACTTAATCGGGTCTATCGAATTTTACGCAATCTGAATCAAATCCATGTGCGAGGCCACCACGATGTTTGGACCCGACGATTGCACCGCTGTGCGCTCGGGCAGGAAGCGTTGACCAGCACAGCAACACGAGCATGCCCGTCGTACGCGACCACAGTCTCTCTCTCTTCGTGAAGAAAACGCCTCCGTCACTAAAGTCGACGAGAGGCACACGAATCGGATTGTACCACTTCATGAGACATGCCCTCCAGGGCAGCCAACTTTGGGCTACTGCAAGTTGCGTTGTCTTTGTGCCTGGGGCGTGGCTTGGTCACTTGCGTGGCGTGGCACATCCCCGAGGCAGTATGAGGCGCGGCCAGGTGTTGGGGCCAGAACAAGATTACTGGGCTCGTGACGTGGAAAGCCCCACGGCGAGTACTCTGAAAAGAACTCACAGACACATGGCTTCGTCCCCAAACGGAGTCGACGAGGGAGTTTGGTAGCTGAGGGATGAGGGTCGAAAATGCGATTGCTTTGGTGGAGTGTCGCCAAAGAAGCCAAGGGGTCTGGGTTGCCACCGTTGACAAATCCCAAGTAGCGTTAGGTGCGAAGGATGTGTCGCTGGCGCTCAGACTTGAATTTGCCTACTTTCACCCCAAATACTTGTATCCATATCTAGACATTTTAAAAATACTAGGCTAAAACTGCATTGCATTTTGAATTGTTGCGTCGTGCCTGTCTCAACCGAACACAGGGCGAAAATGCGCGGGAATCGTGGTGTGAGAGCACCCGTTTCCACGGACACAAGGCTTTTCCGCATGAATTGCAACCCTGCTGCAGGGAAAGCGGTCTTTTGCAAAAGATGATTCCCATGGGACCGAGAAAGCTTGTCAAAAGAACGGTTTGACTTCGGTTCAAACTATCCCATTATAGTCTCGTGGGTTGAGCTAACTCTCTACGTCACAGCTCTATCTCCAAAGCTGTCTCCCATCACAACAAACGCGTTAGCAGTCACCACGACTTCTAGTCGCTCCCACGATGCACCATGCAGAAGATACGCGCCACTTCCGGCGGATCGAATGACTCCATCCATATATGTAGGCAATGGGTCTCTGTTTTGCTGGTCTCCACCCCACGGTCACATGTGGACCGTAGTAGTACTAATAGTAGCTCGCACTTACACGTGCTGCCGCGTACTGTACTAGAGTATCCAACCCGCGGCAACGCCACCAAGCACACAGCACGTTTCGCCGCCATTGCAGGGTCGTGTATTGGTCACGCGTATGCAAACACGACGTGTTGTCGAGCACATAGTCCGTGTGACTTTCGCAGCGCCATGAACAAAGTTGTCTGATCTCGACTGTATTGGTCGCCTTGCCTTCTCTAAGATGCGCGTTTTCTGTGCGTCCCCTTCCAGGTCGACCGCGTGTTTACAACCGGCGACGCAATCCCCCCTTCGGTCGTCTACATTCCCCTTTAAGTTCGAGAACCGGCATCCGGACGATCTACTGACAGATATCCGGATGACATGTCGGATATAGTATTCGGACATTTCATGAAAATTCGGATAGTGGCGATGGCACAAAACCTGTATCCGGACAAATCAGTCCAGGAGTACGGTATACAAAGTGCAGGTTCGACGGCAGCCAACTTCAACATTTTGTGTGTGGCCAGCTCGACGAGAATGGGCACGTGGGCCGACAAGCGCCGCCGCGAGGAAGAGCTGTTCTTCGTCCAGCAACATGAGGCCCCACCGTCGCTTCCTCGCGGCCACGTTTGGTTTCTCGTCGACGCCAAGTGGATGGAGCGGTGGTGGTCGTACGTGACTACTCCAGACTGCCCAGCCCCTGGGCCTATCGCGAATGAAGTTTTGGTCGAGGATGGGTGGCAGCTCCGCCTCAATGGCGACGCGCCTGGCCATGCAGACAAGCCGCTCTTGGCCTTGCACCTGGGCACTGACTACGTTTGCGTGACGGCGCTGGTATGGTGCTTTTTGGCGGAGTTGCATGGCTCCAGTGCACTTCCTCCATTAGCTCGGTACCGTGGATATCCCAATGCATTCGAACTCATGCTTTGTCGTAGATATACGAAGGATATTTACGGCGAGCTAGTACCGATGACGTCGCTCGAAAAGATCATGAAAGGCCCTCGTTTACAAGCTAAAGTGTTGGCAACGTCGTTCAACCAATATGCAAGTGAGAACACTTCGCCACACGCACGGACATGCGACAAGAAAGCGCCGACGACTGGTGCCGACAGAATTTGGCAAGTCTTGGCATTGGTACCGCTGGAACTTTGGACGCAGCTGCAGTTTTGCACTCTCCTTCTCACGGACATGGTCATTCGTGCCCGTTTTGGTGCATCGCAATGGCAAGGATCGGCGTGGACGACTATCTGGATCAGCGTTCCAACCCTCTTCGTTCAATTTATACTTTTGACGGTGGGCGTTCTCGGCGCCAACGCAACTGCCGCAGGAGCTCCGCAAGTTGTTGGAGTCTGGCTCCAGGCAGCGCTTGTGTTTGCACTGGTCGCCGCCGTGCCAGCCACACTGTGGTATGCATACCTCGCAGACTCCCTTTCGTGGATTGCCAAAGACCAAGCTACGTTGGCGACTGCTCAAGAATTTGCGTCGACGTTAGCCATTGGTTTATGGCCCCAGTTTGCCTTTACCGCGATCGCGTCGGTGGTGGCTAGCCGAGGCAGCACTGCGCCCGTCATAGTCGCCCACGTAGCAACTTGGCTCCTGAACGCTCTGCTCAACTTGGTACTCGTCGATGGATGGTATGGTGTCCCCGCCTTGGGTGTCGCCGGGTCTGCCTGGGCGACGGTAACCAGCCAGTTTGTCCAGTGGATTGTGTTCACGACGTGGGTTGTCTTCGTTTCATCTCCATCCTTCAACGAGAACTGGGGTGGGTGGACTAGAGAATGCCTTTGCCGCCTTCAAACGTTTATTGTGACCGCACTCTCAACCTCCGCCGTATGGACTAGTACTGTGCCTTGGCTAGCCCTCGTCATGGTCATGAGCTTTGCGGAGACGACGACATCCGTAGCCAGTGCCGCCGTGCAAGCCATCTTCCTGTGTTTGCTTCAGTGCGGCCGACTGTGCGCCCAAGGAATTGTGAACGTCGCCTTCAACGCCACGACCAAGGTCCGAATTGCAGCCACCGTCATCCTCGTCTTTGGGATGGGCGCGCATTGCGCAGGTGTTCGGTTCGGGGGAATCCCGGTTTACCGCTACTTTTGGGGACCCGACGTCTCGAGCATGATGGCATTCCAGTCGCTGCAGCCTGCGTATTGTTGGGCGGTGGGGATCCTCACGTGCTCGAGTACAATGCAAGTGTGGCTCTTGGATCGCTCAGACGACGCATTTTTTCAACGCGTCGGGCAGATTGGTGCGACGGCGGTCGTGTACGTACCTCTGGCATATGTGATGAGTGTGCAGTGGCAGTGGGGGCTCGGAGGACTGTGGTGGGCGGTCGTGTGCAGCGAACTGTGGGTTATCTTGGCGCTGTGCTGGGCCACGGTACGAGGCAAGATTTGCACCCACGAGTGCGAAGAAACGCGATCGCTGCTGCCTTCAACTGCCTCCACCAAGCCACCGTCACGAGACAGTCCTCAGTTTGTAAGCGTGTAGCTAAAATAACACGATGTGACGATCTCATTGTCCGCCATAGGGTGATGCGAGGGATGGACAGAGAGGACGTGCAGGAGCGCTGGAGGTAAGCATTTCACTCGCAGGCTTTTCGTTGAATGGCAATGTCGTGTGGGATGTATATAGGTCGAAAACATGTCCACGAACGCGGCGCCGACACCGACCAGTGATGAATTGGGCAAATGGATTGCCAGCGCCAACTTGCAACTGGATTCAATGGAGCAAGCGTCATGGCGACCCTCATGCTTGGATTGGTTGCGGTGCTGGCGACGGCTTGGTGGTATCGAGACAGTAGCGATATGCAACGGTGGATCGCATTCGTGGATGCCAGGCGAGCGAGGTCACGAACAGATTGGAGGGGGTGGGGAGTCATTGCAACAGAATACTTCGTTGTATCGGCGCCTTCAGGAACATGTGGAGCCATCGAATCATGCCGCTCCGTTGAAGGATTCTGCTGGTCTGGATGCAAGTGGACTCTGTGGACTGTGTTGCAAGTCACAGCAAGGACGCAAAACTAGCCAACGTCGTGCTGGACAGCTTGGCAATATTCAGTCAATGACGACGGATCGAGGTGATGACGTTCACGGCACAGGATCATGTTGTGGCTGCTGGAAGGGTTTTCCAACATCCAATTCAAGCGATCAACGGAACCGACCGCTCCCTCCAGAGCACAGCCCGTCGTGTAGTATGTGTGGCTTGCAGATATTGCTCTGCTGCGGACGCACAGTCGCGCGCCCGAGCAGCCGCGCTGATGTGACGGCTGAACTGGCGAATCTGTATCGAAAAGACTATCAAGTGAAGGCGCCAGCGACCAGTCCGAGTAAAGCGCGTGGTGGAAAGAGATCAAACAAAGATCCGTTGGAGTCGCGTCGGCGCCAAGTGGGGCCTTCCAGACATGAAAGGGATGCGACCTATGGGACTTTGCAGTCAACAAGCGGACAGTCCACTCGCATGTTCGCATTGACCAACCAAGGCGATCGCGACCATTGCTTATGCAGTGCTTTTTCGTGCTTGTCGTGCCTTGGGCCGATGGCGAGCGACGGCAAGCCAAGGCATACAGCAGGCAATGATGTTGCCAAGCGAGCTTCTCGGACACTTGGACCTCAAGATTGTCGACAAGGCAATCAAGTCACCGAAGGGCATTTTAACACAACGGCTGAACAAGACGCATGTGAAGGAAACTACTCACAACGCGCAAAGCACACCATGCTGCCTTCAACCACAACTCACGGCACGCTTTCCACGCGCACAGGCAACAACGATGTGCTTGCTCTGGCCAAGCCATCGTGCTGGAATTGGCTGTTGGCCAATTGCTTATCCAGTGACCGCAGTTCTACAGGCACAGTCGATGAAGACGCTCGAGTTGCCGGCAACACCTTGGCACCTCACCAGAAAATTGACTCGAATGGAGACGGCGAAACGCGGGTGACAGGAACTATAACGACGTCGCAATCGGCAACGCACGATTCGATGACTTCCTCAAGCAATCCAACCCAACCTACGTTGCCAACAAAATCCTTGAGTCATGTGAGAGTTCAAAGGTCCGGCATTGCGTCATCCCCACACACAAACTCGTCTACGAGTGGTTCAGACCGTCCATTGGACGTTCGTAACCAAGATCCAAACGAAGCAGGTGAAGCTCAGCACTACGAGAGGTCGACGAGTGGTAATCGGTCGTCGCGTGGCGGAGCACCTTCCAGTACAGGCTCGACACACGATGTTTTTCAACAATTTGGCGGTAGCTCGGAGATCACGATGACTCCAGGGGAATCTGCTTCAAATTTTTCAAGATCGACGGCAACAAATGCTACATCTCGTCATACGTCGCACGATGTGACGACGGATGCTGACGCGTGCAATGGTGGAGAAGTGGCATCCAAGAAACAACTGGACTGCGATGCCCAGGCAGCGTATTTCGTCCAAGGAGGCATGTCAAGTTCTAGTCTTTTACGGTCGACGTCTGCGTTTTCGTGTCACACCGCACTGCACGTGGCGACGGAGGACTCGTGGAACGGTGCAGAGGATACATCGTCGCAAGCGGGGATCACGCCGACTCCACGGGAATCTGCTCCATATCGTTCAAGATCAACGGCCACGGATGCCATACCTCGTCACACCTCGATCGATGCTGTCGCGTGCAGCGGTGGAGACATGACGTCCAATAAAGACGGTCTTGACTGGATGACCGGATCGACAAAGACTCCTCCGCCAACATATTCCGATCGACAAGGAGTGTCCGATCCAAGTCTTTTACGGTCGATGTTGGCTGTTTCACGTCACACTGCGCTTGTTTTGACGACGAATGACTCGTGGAATGGTTTCGAGGACTTGTCGCCAGAACGAGGCTTTGGGACCAGTTCCAATTACACAACCCATCGTATTCAAGGAGGTAGTCATGCCAGCTCAACTCGACAATTCTCACGTGGCAAGTCGCCCACCGTCGACTTCATTTTGGATGAGCATGCAATCAAATCCACTGTCAACGCTGGTTCGATTCCACTTTCGTTGGCCGGTATGTCTCCAAAGGAAACGTCCCGCCTTCTCCGCCAAAAGTCAAGCGACTTTGAAGCATCGCACGCAATGGCCGGCGTCACGAGCCCCAGCAGCGACGACGACCTGTCCAACCAAGCCGTCAATGGCCTCTTGGACATGGAGACGCCGATTCCAGACATGGAACTGTGCATTACAAGCGATGGCCACTTGGACGTCTGGAAGGAAACAAGGGTGTTCCTGTGCATGTGTCCCTGCTACTGGTTTCGATTTCTTGTGGCCCAACTTGCTCTTGACACAGAACTCATTTTCGTGGGTCATTTGGGTGTCCCGCAGTTGGCCGGCGTGGGTCTCGTCCGCTTTTGGGTCGCCATTCCATTTTGGTTCCTGTACTCGAGCATGCGAGCTGTCTACGTATTTGGCGTTCAAGCCAGGCAGCACGGCATCGATCGAACCGCTGGTTTGTGGCTCCAAACGGGCCTCGGGTTTGCCTTTATTGGGACCGTGGCCGTGATCATCTACTATTTGCGCTCTCCAGACATGGCCCGTTTCGCCGAGTTCAACGACGTCACGATTGCATTTGCTCGTGAATACGCCCCCATCATCCTCTTGGGCTTGTTCCCGTGCCTTGCTTTCGCTGCGATGGACAACTTCATGCGAGTCCAGGGGATTACACTGCCCGCTCTGGTCTGCGCAACCATCGCTTGCGTTCTCAACATCACGCTTCATTTTGTCTTCATCTTCGGTGCATTTGGGTGGTCTGGACGGGGCTTCGTGGGATCTCCATGGGCGACTGTGACCAGCCTCGTGGTTCAACTCATCTTGTACGTGGCGTACACAGTAGCCATCAAGCGGTACCACGCCCCATTTTGGTGTGAATGGAGCTGGGAGAGCCACCGATTCGGTCAGTATCGGCTATTCTGGAAAGTCGCGGCACCGTTAGGGGGCGCGGCGATGGTACTAGCCATTGCGTTTTGCATCATTGGTACCATCACAAGCTACGTTCCACCCACCGCTGCAACTCCAACTCGCGTCTTGCGTCAGCTTGACGACGCCGACGTGGATGCCGGCTCTGAGCGAGCTGGCGCGTGGGTGATTTCGTTTTGTCTTTTCTTCGTTGTCGTTGCGATCTTCCTGGGGGTCGCCGAGACGACCAAAATCCGCATGCTGGTGTACTTTGCAAACGGCCGCCCCCAGCTCGCGCGCAAGGTGCTGTACGTGGGACTGGCGTACGGCGTCGCGATCGCTGCAGTCTTTGTCGCCCTCTTGCTCGTGTACAAGAGCGTGGTGTTTCGTATTTGGACCAATGACACTGGTGTTCTCGCGCAATGTATCGACGTTGTTCGGTGGATTGGGGTGTGCCTCATGTTTGCCAGCATGCGCACCGTGCTTGCTAGTGGTCTCATCGTCCTCCAGAAGCGGCCGATGGTGGTGCTGGCCCAGACCCTTGACATTTGGTGCTGCCAAGTGCCATGCAGCTTTGTCTTGCCAATCTTGCTCAACTTTCCAGGCCTAAACGGGTTCTGGATTGCTGTTGCTACTGGCGAGTGCGTCCATGTGCTGTTGCTTCTGTACGCTTTGTGTCAGACAGGCGGGACCATCGATGACCTGGCGCTCATGGAAGTTGTTCAAGCCGTGGTTGTCAATCAGCGGCATTTGGCGGCAAATCAAGACATGGAGGGTCTCAAACATGGAAACTACGGCAGATGCCACGACGACCCACATGCGATCATGCAGCCACTTCTGTTGCCAGAGGCTACTGTTGTGAAGGAAGTGGCAGTGACGATCATCGATATCTCCTATGTCCAACCCAACCAGACGGATGCGGTTGACAATGTGGCCATCACGACGAGGTCCTCGTCGGACGAAAGCGCTTCGGTGGTGGGTGCGGTCGCCTCCCGGTCAACCCATGAGTTACTGGAATCGGCTCGTGTCTTGTTTCCCAATCACGACTCCACGGGTGCGGTGCCTGCGACTCCATCACTTGTCATGGCACTTGAGCCATCGCGGGATGAGTTGAATTGTGCGTGGGAGGGAGCGCCAACTGTCTGTTCGGCGATGCCACTACGCAATGCAAACGTTCTTGACCATGATATCACGTATGAACTCCAAACGCAATGGCTAGGACTGCCAGCAACAGCAAGTACACCTTTGATCGACCTGCACGGAGAAAGCCTTTCTCGAGCAGCGTCGGCAGTCGACCCAACAGCCGCCTTTGCACTACCACGGACCGCGAATGAATCCAACCCACCCTGGACAAGTGAACTCTCCAAATCCAAGCACTCGACGACACGGAGTTGTGGCAACTCGGATGAGTCGTTGTCGAGTTCGCACATCCAAATTGAGCTGGACGACGTGGAACTTTCGTACAACGTAAAGAGGCAGGAGAATCCGTCGGCACGCACACGACGCGATACATCCGAAGCGCAGACTGCTCTTTCCTCCATGGAGACAAGGCAATCGCATGATGCACCATCAGCGTCTGACTCGAGTAGTGGTTTGAACCGAAACACCCCCCTACACGTAGATCCCGTTGAAGCTATGCCCCTCGCCCCCACCGGCATTGCCAGTGTTCCGATCGTTCCTACTTTCCGACGAGATGGCGAACCTGTCAATCCTGCTCATGAAGAGGTCCACGCCACCGCTGCGCCGCCCGGCCAAGCACCGACAGAACACGTGACTTTGTCAACAAAGCCATGCCAACCAAACGTCGAAACCCATCCCGTTCCAGTTGCTGAAAGGCCGACCGATGGGTTGGCTCCAAGCACCAAGATCCAAACTCTGGATGAATCCATGGACTGTCTAGCGAGCCAAACCACTTCAGAGGTCGTGGTGCAGCGCGACATAGCCAACATGGCCACAAGTACGAAGGACGCGAGTATCGACGCTGCGGACGAGCGAGTGCTACTACCTTTGCACCCGTCTCATGGTCCACGAGTGCAATCCAGAACACAGCCTGATGCTGCGCCGGTCGACATGGAACTAGCAATATCGCTGAGGGGCATTCTCCCACCATCCGCGACCACCGCGTTGTCTTTCTCCCCTCAGCTATGCACCAAGTCTCCTATGTCGTCTGACGCCGGGTCGGAGGCATCTGAAGATGGAGCAGCACCGGTCCACAGCAACATGGACGAGACCGGGTCCGTGGCGTCGTCGACTGGAAAGCCTCGCCGGCGACCAAAATCATCCAACGGCCCATTGCCACCGAGTGGTCAAGTTGAAACCCTGGGCGGAGTTGACATCGCAACGCTCCAGTTCGGCAAACGATCCAAGAAAAGGCGAACGCGAGAAGAAAAGTTGCGGCGCGTGATGAGCACGTCGCCTGCCCGCCGGCCGTCCGCATCCAGTTTCCAAGCAAGCTTAGATTAGCATGAACGATGTGTCTACCAGCCCGTCATTGCTTTGGTTTGGCTCCTTTCACCTTGATGAGGTACTGCAGAGCTTCCGTCCACTCGGCACACTTGGACTTGTTTCGGTCGATGTTGTCACCCTCGTCAACCTGCACAGCATGAACATAACGCGAAGCATCCACATTTCGAACGGCACCTCCAAGTCCAGCGATCGCTTCGTGTTCTCGTACAAGATAGAAAAGCAGAATGGAGCTCTGGCAGGATCTCCCCTTCGTTGAAACACCTGGCCGTGCGACGTGAGTACCATCGAAAGGAGGAAAGTTGATGCGCCACATGCCTTGGTGGTTTGACCCACAGCGAGGGAGTGCAGCGACGACGTGGGGATTTGAATCGGCTGGGTCGGACTCCCCCCCACGGATCGATAGCTCAAATATTGCAAGTCCGGCGTGCACCACACAAACCTTGGATGCGGATTGCCCTGTCGCCCGTGCTTGATGAAGATGCTCCCTTGCTTGAGCAGGTCCATCCGACGTTTGATTGCATCCGAACCTCGTGTACTGGACATAGCTGCGAAGGGAGGCGGTGGTGGTGTGTCGAGTGGTGGGTGTTTCTTCGGGGGGTCAGCGGGAGATGCATAGTTGGTACCGTCTTGACGGAGCTGATGACTGTGCTGTTGTTTGGTCACACTTGACACTGGATGCACCTTGGTCGTCTCCGACTTTGTGTGATCCTGTGATTGTACTTCGGCCGCCAGCGCCGCCATGGCGCGGTTGAGCGTTTCCGCTTCGGCGCGCTGGGCGGCCAGCCTCGATTCCATCCCCGCGATGCGGTCGTTCTGAATATTTAGCAGCTCCTGTACTTCCACGGTCGCATTTGAAGCAAACACGAGGCTCTCTTTGACAGATTTCAAGCAGTACATGGCATGGCCGAGCCCTAGACGCTCGATTTCCATAGCGACTTGCGCTTGCGCCGGGGATTCCCACTCCGCGACCAGGAATTTTTCCACGAGCTGGTCGCACTCGGCTTTATCTGAAGCTGGGTCATGTTGAGTCCTCTTGGCCAGGATGTCGTAGATGATGTGGTCCGTACCATGGAGCTCCATGGCCACGCCTGGATGCACCTGCGCCTGTAACTTGCTGTTGACATCCGCTTGGTCCTTTAAGGCAGCTTGTGTCACGGCCAAGTCCCTCTGAAGGCGCTTGTTCTCGGCTTGGAGCAACTCCGCCAATACGTAAACGTCGACTTCTTCGTTCACGTGGACGTCCACAGCGACCTGCGCAATCGCTGAGCACACCGTTTGCTTGACGAAAAAAGGCGACCTCGCTGCATCGCTGCATAAACCGACATGTCGAAATGGATTCGTCGACGAACTCGGCTTCTGGATTGAGCGTCCCGATGAACACAGACTTGCAGTTGCCTCCGAGGCTGCCTCGCAAGACCGACGTCAGCATCGAGTTGCGATACGGCACGTGGTGGTTTGGTGGTTTCCCCATCGCCTTTGCTCCTTTCTTGGCTGCAGGTTTTGTTTGCAACGCCAAGATGACCTGGACATGCACCGATCACGAACGCTAAAGAGGCGGACACATGTACTTGTTCGAGGTGATGCAGCGACAGGTTGATAAAGCGGCCCTCGGTGCGCATCCTTTCCGACCCGTCCCGCTTGTACACCCGCTCCGACCCGGCCAAGTCGACCACGTGTAATTTGGAATGGAGGATGACCTTTTTTGCCACGAGTTAGGAGGTGCGCGCGGCAGGCGAATTACCTCTGAGTTGTGCCGATGGCCTTCGATCAACATGGTGAAGATAGAATGCGACCGGGACGACGCCTGGGCGCATGGACCCGTCACGTTGACTACATTTCACGAAGAAGCTGCAAGCGAACCATGTTCATCGGCGTGTCGCTCGTGATGCGGTGGGCATTGCCGAGGAAGAGCAAGTTGAGCGCCTCCTCTTCCGACTTTGCTTCGTACACTCTATCGAAACAAGTTTTGACGCGACACATGCCGCGCCGACGCACCCGAGTTTGCGAAACTGCGCGTTTGCATCTTCGTCATCGTCCGACAGCTGAACTTGGAGGCGCGTCCATGCTTCGATCGGTTTGTTCATGTGCGTTCGGTCCAGCAAGTCGTACACGCTGTCGTTGTAGATTTCCAAGTACGAAATGTAGCACTTGTACGTCTACAACAGTCCCGATGGGCGCTTGCGTCGACTTGGCGACATACCATGTCCGTTCGCGCCTCGAACGCATCGAACAGCGTCGAGATGGCTCGGGGAACAATGCCTCGCTCCTGGTAGCTCTCGCCTGCGCAAGTCGGCGCTTGTCACAGTTCGTGCACTTGGTGAAATTACCTCCCGTGATTGTAAACGTCTTTCCGCTGCCAGTTTGGCCATACGCCAAGATCGTGCCATTGTATCCTTCGACTGCTCCAGTCACAACGCCCTATGTGGGCACGTTGTGGGGCTGGGCAACGGGTGCGTGGCACGACGTACCAAGCATGCGTCGTGGAAGATTTTGTCTTGGGAAGTCGGGCAGTCGAACACTTGAGTGTATTTGAACTCGAGCTCATCGCGCTGCTTGAGGTTGCTCCGACTGTCGGGGGCGGCAGGGTACGGAAACGTGATCGTGCTGGCCACGCCATCATGGGCTACGTCACATATCGACACGTGCTTTTCAAGTGGATGTGTGCCACGTACGCGATGCGATTGTGTACGACTTGGTGGCCCCCTTGCGGAGGGGGCGTATGCGGGCGTACGTTCCGATCTTCCACGTGTCCCCCATCGTGGGTATGTGGGTTTGCCGAGGCCGCTGGGGGGGACGTCTGGCAGTTGCTCCAACAGTTTCATTATGTTCAAACGAAAGAAACTGGCGGCGACGGCCCCCGTCGACCCACTCGCGGCGTTGGGTGACCCAAAGGACATCGCCAAGGACTTTCCTCTCTGTGCGTGTACTCGAACCTGCCTACCATTGTCTCACGGATCGCTGTACGTCTAGTCAGCTCGGCAGAGATCAAGGCGATGCAGAAACAGTTCGTTGTGTGGTTGGATCAAGCTTGCATTCACCACGATGGACGCATCATGGTGGAAGTGCCATCGCATGTGGTGGTCGACCAGCCCAAGGTGGCGTTGAATGGACTGTTTGCGTTGGCCATTCGAAGTGGACCAGGGCACACGGTGACCTTTCTCGACTTTATGGCGGTGACGTCGCTATTTCATCCCAAGACACCTCTCGTCGACAAACAAAATGGTAGCAGATCGATGGCAGTCACATTTCATGGACTCACGCGCAGCTGCAGCCATGTTTCGTTTGTACGACGTCGACAGGGATGGCGTCGTGTCCCCAGCGGACGCCCATCATGTTCTCACTCAATACCTGGGCTTTACCATCGACATATCCGCTATTGCAGCCTCCATGCAAGACTTCATGACGACATCTGCTGTTGGATTGACATCACACGAGTTCCACCAAGTACGGCGTGCCGACCATCGACCATCCAATACCATGCTTGCTTTGTAGATGGTGACGGACAGTGAAGTGCTTGCTGCCATGACCATTTTGTAGCTCCTCGCGCTATAACACTCTGTGTGGTTCGTGGCCACCTCCCTCCACGGCGCCGCCGTGTGACCTTTCGCGTTTGATTTTGGCCAGCACTTTTGATTGGTCAGATTTAAAATGGCAGAGCATATTTTGCCATGCGCATCTTGACGTGGAACATCAATGGGCTTCGCGCAGTCTTGACCAAGGCGAACCAGAGCCTCGACGAGTTCATCGCCGCATGTGACGCCGACATCGTGTGCTTCCAGGAGACGAAGCTGACGCGGTCCGAAATGACGGAAGCATTTGCTTGCCCCACCTCGTTCGATGCGTTCTATGCGTTTTCACGAGTCAAGAAAGGCTACGCTGGCGTCGTGACGTTCGTCCGCGCATCGGCAGTGCACACCATGGACGCAGACACGACTGCGTGCGTGTTTCAAGAAGGACGCATTGTCTTGACGGTGCATCCGGAGTGGATGATCGTGAACGCGTATTGCCCGACCACGGCCGGCAACATGGAGCGGAAGATGCAGTTTCTCGGCAGCCTCTCGACACAACTTGACACGTGGCGCCAGGACTACCCCGACAAACCCCTCATCTTTGTGGGGGACTTTAATGTAATCCACCAACCCATCGACCACTCCCAAGACCACATCCCCAACGAAGCCACAGTCTGGCTGGATAGTGTCCTCGGCACAGACAACCCATCCAACCAACACGAGCTCGTTGACGTATTTCGCCACTTCCACCCGAACGATGAAAGGGCATACACGTGCTGGAGCCAACTGACTGGCGGCCGGGAAACCAACTACGGCGTTCGTCTGGATTACATTCTCTTGGATAAGCGGTTGGTCGACGCTGCAGTCGATTGCTGGCTGTGGGTGGATAAAGTCGGGTCCGACCATTGCCCGGTCGTCCTTGATATCGACACGTTAGCATCCGCTGGAGCCCCCACGACAGCCTCTGCGTGCGCAAAGTTCTATCCCGAGTTTGCCGGCATCCAGCAGTCGTTGCGTGGATTTCTGTCCCATCTGCCACCACCCATTCACACGCCTGACGTTCCAACTCCACCCCCAACGAAACCCTCCTCTCTGCGGCAACAATCCATTGCGGCCTACTTTGGCACCCCAAAAGTGACCCCCACACCTCCCGCGACCTACCCGAGTGACTCCACCATGAGGCACAGCCTTGCATGTTCAGTATACTCAATGTCTCCAGCAAGCATGTCGACCAACGATCCTATCGGCGGCGCCTGCGGCAGTGAGTCCATCACCCACTTGGACGAGTTCCAAACCGTGGCGGCATCGTGGAAAACGCTGCTGCCTGGCAAAGCGCCCCCACCACCGCTCTGCTCGGGCCACAACCTTCCTTGCCTCTTGCGCACAGTCCTCAAGCAAAATGAGAACTGGGGACGCAAGTTTTACTTGTGCTGCAAACCAGAGGGCGCTCCAGGAGACCCCAACGGCCGGTGTGACTTTTTCCAGTGGGTGCCGTCCAAAAAGCGAAAAGCTGGCGCGTAAAATTGTCGCAATGAAGCGTACGGCATGCCTTCGCAGGCGTCGTTGCAGGCCAACGCGAGTTGCTTTTAACTTAATCGGATTCCGTTCATCTTTACTGCCCAAACACAGCGCTATCAAACCACGGATGCGTTAGCGCCTGTTCGACCGTGAACCGCTTCGTGGGGTCCCGCTCGAGCAAGTGCGACACCAAATCCTTGGCTTCTCTGCTAAACTTTTTCCATATCCGGGGCGTAAACTCTGCTGGTTCTTCGACGCAAATGCTGGGCGGATAAAATGGCTGGTACCCCGTCAACATCTCGTAAATGATAATGCCGACACTCCACAGATCCACGGGTTTCCCATACGGCAGCGACTGAAACAACTCGGGGGCCATGTACCCCACGGACCCCGTGAGTCCGTTGAACGGGACCTTGTGCACGTCCCCCGTGTGCTTGAAGAACCGGACGTCCGGCACCTTGACGCTCAACCCAAAGTCGCACAGTTCGACAGTGAGGTCCCATGCCTTGACCTCGTTGTTGCTGGTGTGGCCTGCGTCTGTCGAGTCTTTCGCGTCGGACAGGAGAACGTTCTCGGGCTTGACGTCGCAGTGGACGACACCCAATTCGTGCATGAAGAAGATGCCGCGTACAATTTGATGAGCCAACTTGGCCGCCAGCGCCTCGGGGAATCGGCGCTCCCGTTGCATGAGCTGCTTCAGCGTGCCGTGTCGTGCCTTCTCCATGACCAAGTACAAGAACGACTCGGTCTCGTACACTTCCAAAAGTCGCACGATGTTGCGATGTTGGAGTCGCAGATGGATCTCGACCTCTGTCTTCACGGCTGCCTTGGCTTTGTCCGTCAATAAATACCGTTTGTGGATTTGCTTGATGGCGACTTCGGCGCCATTGCTGCGGCGAATCGCTGGCTTCACGACGGCATACGCGCCGTCGCCAAGCTGGTCCTCGCCGCACAATTCGTAGTGCTCGGTGACCGCCAGTTCGTGAATGAAGAACGGATTGATGAAGTACGTCTCGGCCGGGCATGGTTTCGTGCCTTTCGGGGACTTTTCCAGCATGACCGTTTGCGGCAAGCGGGGGATGCTGCGGTTGATGCTCATGAGGCGGAGCTTGTTCTCTTCCAGGTCGTCCACAAGACGGCGAGCAATAAACGGATTCGATGGCACCTTGGGCGCCCCTTGTTCGTATTCGGTGTCGCAGTCGTCAGGTTGAGACAAGAGTTTGGGGTCCACAGGGCCGCTATTGTGACGGCGAAATGCAGGGACCGTCAGGGCCCCCGTCGATGTTGGCGATAGCGTCGATGGCTTGGTGCCAACGGTCGTGTCGATGGTACGGAAGCCGCACTTGCGATAAATGCCCTTGCCAGTCGACACGTAGCCGTCCACGAGATCGCACACGTCGCTCGACGATTTCTTGCATACCACAGGAGTGAGAAAGTCGACGACCTCATGGGATGCCGAGGGGGAAATGTCGCTCTCGGAATAGTGCCGATAGATGTGATGGTGGCGGTGGTAATCTTCTTGATCCGAGAGCACATCAAGGTCTTCCTCCATCATGCTGTCGCCGTCGTCATTGTCGTCATCTTGCAAATTGTTGTTGCTGCTAAAGCTGCTTGAGTGGGACGGACGACCGTTGTCGGACGCACAACTGCTCGACGATCGCTCTCTCTCCATGGATGACATGGATACGTCCGCGGTGAGTGTCGACGATCGCTTCGAAGTTGGAGATAACGCCAACACGCGAGCGTCGGCGTATGGATAGACAACTTTTGGAGGCAGCTTGAATGACACGTCCGAGTCACTGAAGCATCGAATGCGAGTCGAGGCGGTCTTGCGACGGGAGTTGAGGGATTCGTACGGATGCATGTTGTCATGCGTGGAGCGGTGTGGGAATTCCGTGACCTTTTGACCTCGTCGGCGGCGGAAACTCCGTGACAAGTTTAGCGGGAGGGACGTTGGGGCGACATCGGTTTGCTCCACAAGGGCGAATTCCACAGAGTCATCCATATCCAACGCAACGAATTCCTTGTTCGCGTCGTCTTGGTTGTTTTCAGACGAGCACATCGAGTCCGAGTCTGCGACGGCTGATGCGTCGAGATTCGGTTCGCTTTGCCGCAGTTGCTTGAGACCGTGGAGGGGATCATAGTATCCAGGAAGAGCATGGAACGTGCCTGTGAGGGGGTTGTTGCGAAACTTCTTGCGCTCTTCCAGCTCGGCGACGCCAACGATGTCGTGAGCAAAGTACGCAGCACCGCGGTTGCCTGCGCTTGGGGCATGATGGAACGTACCGACAAACGGGTTGTAACTTGGGAGGCGCGCAAAGATCTTGACAGCTTCCACCTCGCCCATGTTTGCAATGACGACGAAAGTGTCTTGGGATGTGTGTGATGGACTCGCGCGTCTCCGTCCCGCCACGCGGTGGCCCGTGTCGCTTCTTTACAGGGAATAGGACAATGCCTATCCGCGGTACTAATATTGTTGCGGCGCAACAACGTCCGAAAAAAAGTCGACTCCATTCAATTTAATTACATGGCACCTTGGTACAATTTTTTGTCCAGGGACAGCGGTGATGTGTAACGGCGTATTACTTCGAACTTCGATTGTAACGGGCCCTCTGGACTGGGAGTCCTGCAAGTACACCACGGACGGAGGCGACGTTCTCTTTGGTGAGCCATCTTAGACGCGTGCAACAAAACCCAGGGCAGCATGCGGAGTTGGTGCTCCACAGTGGAGCTGGCCGTTTTTCGTCTCTGGGCTTCCTGCGGTTGAATTTTAGTTCTCAGAAGTCGGCACAGTAGTAGCTTCGGTACTGTACTGTATTTTCCTCGAAGGCGGGTTAGGCTCCCAGGAACGCCAAGCCGATCGATGGAGGGGTATGGTGCAGACGAAGGGGAGAAGAAATGTGAAAGCCATGCACGAAGGAGGCCGTGGAACGCTGGTCCAAGTTGCGTTTGTAGAGTACATTAATGCCGGCATTACACAAATCGTGTCGGAGAAGGAAGTTCGAAGGAGCACAACTTGCGATTGGAACAGCCGTTGAACGTGGATTTTCTTGCCCTTGCCGAAGCACTCACGAGAAGACAGAATTTGCCGCCTGGTACGTCCACGACGGGTGGCGCCGACCGACCGCTCTCTTGATCGGCTGCGTTTCTCGGGAAGGGGATCGAACCTTGCCACTCGAACGGACGCTGGGTTGACTGGCCGAGTCGAAGGAGAGAATCGAAGTTGACGAATACATTTTATACATGTGTGACGTGGCATGCACATGGTGCGGACCCCGACGTTTTCGGCACGAGGTCCATCGTCAGATCTGCGGCGCGACGAGATCCATGTTCCGTCGACTGCTCTCACGATTTCACCATCGCGTTAAGCGTGTGTTGCACGGAATACGACAAGTCGAACGCGTTGGCAACAAGCCGCCTGCTTGTTCCTCACGCCTTCCCAGTACAACACCACGAACATGGGTGAATTTTGGAGGATTTCTGCCTCCTGTTTGCAAGACAACCAGGTATCGTTCGAAGGTGAATACACAGGCAGGGCAAACCGGCGCACCGAGGCTGGAACATTGTTTTGCGGGCGACCTTCGTGGTGGGAGTGCGCCAGCTTACGTGGACGAACGGGTGGTCGCCGTTCGATGTCGCGTCAACGCCGTTCCAACGGCGGCAATTGCAGCGAGCATTGCGACATTTAGCAAATTCTAACCGGAAATAGGCCAATCAAATTCGCCTTAAATGCTTTTGGGTGCATATGATTGGATGAGATCCAAGTGCAATGTCAACGGCAACTTCAACTTGCGCGTCAGCACCATGAAAAACTTTTCCAGCAATACTAAGGATGGTTCTATAAGGCGATAAAGAGATCACAATAAGTGGTGTTGGCTGTTGTTTCATAGAGCGAATGCGCCGAGTCGCGCGGTGGATGGCGCTTCAAGTTTGCAGACACGGCGACTTCGTTGACGTCGAAGTTTACGAATACTTCGGTGACTTGGTCGTCTGAGCGCGGTAAAAATAGAGGTCGAAAGTTGGGCCGATATATAAAAGCGCATTGCATTCGACGTATGTTTGGCCATCGTCAAGCGACAATGAATAAATGGACACAAGAACTTTAGGGACAAAGGCGCACGAGGTGTGCGGCTACTGAAGTACAGTCGCTTGGATGGCTCTGTGCGGCGAAGTAGTATCTACAGCGTGGAGACAGGGTCGCGCATATTTAGTCCAGGGCACAAATTGAAATCGAGATAAT